CAAGGTAAAACGGGAAGTTACTTAGAAATAATAACTAAAACAAGATCCTAGACATAGGTTCTCTTACCCGTTAAACGTAAGTTGACATTTAATTTATTTAGGATTCTAGTGTTGCATAGACATATGTAAACACTAGTCTAAACTTCTAAACAAACCAAAAGCGGTATGGAATAGGAGTTGAACCAGTTTGCATAAATTGAGTTTAATTACGGGCACATCTGATAGGTGTAATTCATCTTTTAGAACTAAACAGAAGTAGGGGGTTGGCCTTTTAAATTTTATTATTCTCGTGTGTTTTTCGTATTCAACGAATCTCACCAATTTTTATTCCCAAACTCGATTGCTCATTCAAGCAGTTTACAAAATAATTTTAAAAGAAAACTAGTCCCTGTAGAGAAGAACTTGGAATATTTCCATATTATTACTTGTGACAGTGTGCACTTGCACTTATCCTCTAGCTATTAAGCAGATGCGCAACACGGACCTAGCTTGACACAGGCTTTGACCATGATCTTTGATCGGGTTCGATTTAACCAACGAGAAAATAAATGGTATTGGACTTGACTTGACACAAGTTTCGACCATGATCTTTGATCGGGTTCGATTTAACCAACAATAAAAATAAAAGGCAATAGACCTGACTTGACACAAGCTTTGACCACGATCTTAGATTATGTTCGATTTAACTAACGAGAAATTAAAAAAGGTAATGGACCTGAATTGACACAGGCTTCAACCACGATCTTTGATCGGGTTGGATTTAACCAACGGGAAACTAAAAGCAACAGACTTGGCTTGACAYACGCTTCGACCACAATTTTTAATCGAGTTCGATTTAACCAACAAATAAATTAAACACGCTTGCTTGAACAAAATGAGACGTCACGAAACTTCCTGCCCTAGGGCTTTTTGGAGACTTCTTCAAGAAAAATGTGGAGAATGCATGAAAGAATGCATGAAATGTGTTTGATGCATGATGATAACAAGAAATTTTATCTTGGATGTGAAAAAATAGAGTGAAATCACTTGCTTTTGTAATATAAACCTAGAATTGTCCAGATAGCCCGATCATCGCATTTTGTTTTCCTTCAAAACCCTTTTAACTGGATTGAGAGTACACAAACAAACTGAGACTTGGCCAAACACTTCTTAAACGAGATGACGACTTTGCCCCTGATAACTTTGTAATGTCATATTTTCCCCAATGATTCTAGAGAACAAATATCCTTATTTTTAGGCTTCCTGTACCTTTATGTTTGATTTCGAGTAACAAGTAACCTTGGAGAACGTGAATGTAAGCAACTACCGTTATTCATAAATAAGAAGAGATGAATAGAGAAAAGACTTTATAAATGATATTTCCAATTATGACAAAGAACACATATCTCAAAATTGTTGTTCAAATTTGTAAGTTATAATAGAGAATGGATACACAAAATGTCTTTCAAGTAAAATAATGAGATCAAAGTGAAATTTTTTGAGATACACGAGAAATTATGCATCATACTTTCGWAYATGATCTGAATTGACTGGATTTAAAAACTCACTGCCATCCATGCTGGCCAGAACTAGTGGTCCTCCAGAGAAAGCCTTTTTTTACCACAAATGGTCCTTTATAATTCAGGGTCCATTTGCCTCAATGATCTTTTTGCAATGGTAGGATTCTTTTTAGAACCAAATTTTCTCTCTAAACTTTCTTGGGCGCACCTTCTTGTCATAGGCTTTCATCATTCTTCTTTGGTAAAGTTGTCATCTACATAATGTCGTCAACCTCTTTTCTTTTACAAAATTTAGCTGCTCAAAATGCCTTTGGACCTATACAGCCTCTTGTAACATAGCTTCCATGATAACTCTTAATGATGGAATTTCTACTTCAACGGGGAGAACAACTTCCATACCATAAACTAATGAAAATGGCATTGTCCAGTTGAAGTATGGATTGAGATGCGATAACCATGTAAGGCGAACGGAAGCATTTCATGCCAGTCCTTGTAAGTTACAGTCATCTTTTCAACGATTCTTTTTATGTTTTTGTTGGCGGCTTCCACTACACCATTCATCTTGGGTCGATAAGAGGTTGAGTTGAGATGCTTGATCTTAAACTGCTCACAAAGCTCGCTCATCAATTTGTTGTTCAAATTCCTTGCATTATCAGAAATTATTGTTTCAGGAAAACCATAACGACAAATAATTTCTTTGTGATGAATTTGACTACAACTCTTTTTGTCACATCTCGGTAAGAATCTGCTTCTACCCACTTGGTAAAATAATCTATGGCTACCAAAATGAATCGGTGCCCATTTTATGCTTTAGGTTCGATAGGTCCTATCACGTCCATGCTCCACATAGAGAAGGACCAAGGAGCTGTCAAAGTATGCAAATGAGAAGCAGGAGCATGAGTTTTGTTCTAGTAAATTTGACATTTGTGACATTTTATTGCATATTTAATACATTCTATCTCCATAGTCAGCCAGTAATTGCCAGTTCTTAAAATTTGTCTAGCCATCATGTGTCCATTTGCATGAGTGCCACAAACTTCTTCATGGATGTCCTCCATAATCCTATTGGTCTCTCTTCCTTCGACGCATCTTAGAAGAACCATGTCATGGTTTCTCTTGTACTGTATCTCTCAGTTTAAGAAAAACTTCATTGCCAATTTGCGGAGGGTGCGCTTATCATTTTCTGAAGCATTCGGTGGATATTCCTTATTCTTGATATATTGCTTGATGTCATGAAACCAAGGGTTGCCATCGGGTTCTTCCTCAATGCTCATACAAGAAGCTGGGACATCTCTCCTCCCAAATTTAATTGGATAGACCTCCTCATTGATTTCTAAATTGAACATCATTGCTAATGTCATGAAACCAAGTTGGGACCCATGATGTCATGAAACCAAGGGTTACTGTCGAGTTCTTTCTCAATGCTCATACAAGAAGCTGGGATATATCTCCTCCCAAATTTAATCATACGAAATTCCTCATTGAGTTCTAAAGTGAACATCACTGATAATGTGGCCAATGCATATGCTACTTGATTATTTTCTCTTGGCATATAATCAAATGAGATTTCATCAAACTCTTGTGACAATTCTGTTATGAGTTGTTTGTAAGGCAACAACTTAGTGTCTCTTATTTCCCATTCTTCTCTTAGTTGATGAATTACTAGCATAGAATCCCCAAAAACTTTAAGTTTCTTAACCTTCATATCAATAGCAGCTTGGACGCGCATCGAGCATGCTTCATACTCGGCCATATTATATGTGTAGTCAAAGCATAACCTGGTGATAAGAGGGCATAGATCCCCTTTGGGTGATATCAAAATAGCCCCTATGCCATTATCTAGCTCATTAGAGGCACCATCAAACATCATGGTCCAAGTTTATGAGTCTAAACTTTCCTCAGCTACGGTTATGGTGGAGATATACTCATCTGAAAGTCGACTTCACCGGTACGTAGTCATTTATAGGTTGTTGAGCTAGGTAGTCAGCCAGAGCACTCCCTTTAATAGCCTTTTGAGTCATATAGACAATATCATATTCGGACAAGAGAACCTGCGACCTTGCAATTCKACCTGAGAGAAATCGCTTTTCAAAAGTATACTTTATGAGGTCCATCTTTGAAATGAGCCATGTGGTATAATACAACATGTATTGTCTTAAACGTCGGGCAGCCCAAGCTAGAGCACAACAAGTTTTTTCTACTTAAGAGTATTTAGTCTCGTAATCGATAAACTTCTTACTCAAATAATATATGGCATGTTCTTTTTTGCCTGAGTCATCATGCTGCCCCAATACACATCTCATTGAGTTTTCAGTCACTGTGAGATATAAAATAAAGGGTCGTCCTGGAGTTGGTGACATAAGAACTGGAGACTCCTGCAAATACTGCTTAATCTTATCAAATGCTGCATGACAATCTTCACTCCATACACCATCATTGTTCTTGCAGAGCAATTTAAAGATGGGTTCGCAAGTTGCTGTTAAGTGAGATATGAACCTTGCGATGTAAATGAGTCGTCCTAGGAACCCTCTAACTTCTTTTTGCGTCTGTGGAGGTGGCATTTCTAAGATTGCTTTGACTTTATCCGGGTCAACTTTAATGCCTTCTTCGCTTACTACATAGCCCAGAAGTTTTCCAGTGGTTGCCCCAAATATGCATTTGTTGGGATTGAGTTTCAATTTGAACTTCCTCAATCGATCAAATAGCTTCTTTAAAATAGTTTTGTGCTCCTTGCCCTGTTTTGACTTGGCAATCATATCATCCACGTAAACTTCAATTTCTTTGTGCATCAAGTCTTGAAAAATGGTAACCATGGCACGCTGGTAGGTTGCCCCACCGTTTTTTAGCCTGAACAGCATAACTTTGTAGCAGAAAGTTCCCCACAGCGTAATAAATGTGGTTTTTTCGCGATCCTCAGGTGCCATCTTGATTTGATTGTATCTTGAGAACCCATCCATAAAGGAGAAGGTTGAGAATCCAGCAGTATTATCAACCAATACATCGATATGAGGAAGCGGGAAGTTGTCTTTTGGGTTTGCACGATTCAAGTCTCTATAATCTACTCACATTCTTACTTGTCCATTTTTCTTTGGTACAGAGACAATGTTCGCCACCCACTTAGGGTAATTAGATACCGTAAGGAACCCTACATCAATTTTTTCCTCACTTCATCCTTTATCTTGATCAACATATCTGGCCTCATTTTCCGTAACTTCTGCCTCACCTGCTTGAACTCTGGGTTGATTGGCAATTTGTGCTTTACAATGTCTATATCTAAACCAGACATATCTTAATAGGACCAAGCAAAAACATTAGCATATTCATGGAGTAACTCTATCAACTTTTTGCGACTCTCTGAACACATATTAGTGTCTATTTTAATTTCTTTGGTCACGGCTTGTGACCCCAAGTTAATTGTCTCAGTTAATTCCTCATGGGATCCCAACATCTTTTGTTCTTCTTCTAGCGTTCTCAATAACTCGGCAGAGGGCTCATCATCCATTTCCTTATCATACTCGACGTTGTATATAGGTGTATCAAACTCGTATTTCGAATCATTATCACATTCAATCTCAGTATTATTTGACTTATTATTTACAAAAGACAATAGCTCTAAGACGCTTCAATTGCTCAACTCGAAACCGTCTGGGCATGGGAAGACAAAAGGTCTGGTTTGCTCTCTTTCTTCTGTCACTGCAGAACCCTAATCGTAGTCCTGATGGATTATGTCGGCACTTCTGAAAGAGTGGCTGAGAGGTGGAATAGTCCTTCTTGGGTAATCATGATCCCTATTCTCAAATCTTGCTAGACGTTTTGCTTTTTCACGGTTTTGTACTCTCGTGATGTTATCTCTATTTGTTATGTCAAAGGTACAAGGACCTATCTGGATTGGGATCTTAATATCCCCAACAACAGCACTGTGAGCTCCATCGAAATCTCTTACTATCACAGTACTAGGCCTCATATGGGGCATATCGACTGATAACTTCTCTAGCGTGGATCTCGGCATTATGTTTAAAGAAGATCCATTATCAACAAGGACTTTTGCTACTAAGAAGTTCTTACACTTAACCGAGATGTGGAGAGCTTTGGTATGTCATGTACCCTCTTGTGGTATCTCCTCATCTGTAAAAGTGATGGAGCTAGATGCCTTTATGTTTCCGACAATGTTGCTCAAATTGTCCAATGTGATGTCTTGTGAAACGAAAGCTTGATTCAAGACCTCTAATAGTGTATTCCGATGCGCTGCAGAGGATAACAGCAAAGACAATATAGAGATCTTTGCGGGTGTCCAACCTAATTGTTCAATAACTTTGTATTCACTTTGCTTCACTAGCTTTAGAAACTTTTGAGTCTCTTCCTCAGACATGGGTTGTTTAGGACTTGCATCCATTAAACAATTGCCTCCACCAGTTCATCATAAACATCCTCGTTGAGTTTGGCCTTCCCTTTCTTATCCTCTTCCACTTTCTCCTTTTTCTTCTCACTTGCTTTCTCTTTATTCTTTTCACTAGTAGGCTTGTTCACGTGCTTACGCAAGCTATCCGGTGTATAACATCTCCTAGTTCGTGTCAAACCTCTTACTCCAGTGATATTGTCAACTGAGAGTGAAAGAGATGATACCTCTTGCCCGATAGTTACCTTGCACTCATATCTCCAAGGCACTGCTTTGGAACTTTTATACTTGAAAGGAGCTGGAACTGTGATAGTGATCGGTTTTCGATTGTTGTTGGGTGCATCAGGCTTTTCACAGTAAAATATGGTGAGGGGTTTTGGCTTAAAAGTAGCATCTGAGCCTTCAGCCGCCGAGGCACTCTTTACAACATTTATCCCTTTATTTTGTAACAATAAGGATTTTTGAGTTTAACAACTTTTGAACTCTCCTTTTAAAATGGCTACCTTGCTCTAGAGAGTGTCCTTTTGCCCCAACATAGGTACTACACTGATACATATGTTGGGTGTGTTGTCTTAAGCCCGAGAGGGACTTCCGGTTATTGGTCGGACCATAACCGAGTTGTTCATTAGAGGAGCAGTGGTATTTAAGCAGTAAGATGTAACTCAAGGGTAAAACGGTAATTTGACCCAGCTTGAGTTACAAGCACTCGTGAAGGATTGACTTGTCCATTAATGGTCGTATATCCATGGCACAAAAACATTCTGTAGTGAGAAGAGTGCAACTGCGAGATCTTTAGTCGAGTGACCCGTAGTTAACGAAAGTTGATTAACTCGGTCAATAAGTTTGACCGATTAATCTCGTATCGTTGGAGCTTCTGATCTGTAGGTCCATTAGGTCCCCTTGCTAGCTCATAACGGGTAAAGCGATGATCAAGTTTTTGGAAGAATTTGAACTGTTCAAATTGCTCAAGGGAATATATGTATATTGATACATTATAATAAATAGTTAATTCTAAATTAAAACTATATATTATGAGAGATATTATTTGAATGAGATTCAAATAAAATTAATATTAATACGATTCATATTAAAACTATAGGTTAAAAATAATGTGCATAAGATGTACATTACAAYTATAGGTTATATGAGAGAAATGCTATAGAATATGATTCTATTTTTGTAATAAATAATTAAGTGTTAATTATGTGATTTATATATATATATATTAATTGTTAATTAGATTAATAATTAATTATTAATTATTAATTAATATGATTAATTAATTATATATATATATATATATTAATTATTATTATTTATTAATAAGATTAATATATATATTTATAATTAATAACTCCCCTGCAATGCAGTTTTTTGGTTTTGTTTTGCAGAAAGGTTCTACTTAGCAAAAGAACAGAAAAACGCTCAAGCATAATTTATCTCAAGCTCCCTCTCAATTCTCCTTCTTGTTCCAAACCAAAGCTCCTACAAGTACGATCTCGTACCCAGATGATAGCACAGAAGATCATTTGGTGGTGTTCGAGAGATTTAATCGTTGAATAAGAGTTCTTCAAAGGTAAGGGAAAACATTTGTCCTTGTATTTCACACTTTGCATTATGGGTTTTGTTTCTCAAAATTGATGAACGATGATCATCGCTTCCGCTGCGGGATTCACATCCCATCAACATACCCACTACCCAAGAGGATTTCAAATAAATCCTGTATAGGGGGTTGTAATTTATGCAACTTTACTCTTTAACTCGATCCCTTGACATTCAATTGCATTTATTTGGAGGTTCTAATTATTCGGCAGCGGATTTGTTGGGACTTTCTCTACCTTTAAAAAGATTAGACACTCGTGCAAGCGCACACGGTCATAAGTAATACTCGGAAGTAATCTAAGGTCGAATCCTCAGGGACTTGTTGCTTTTCAAAATCAAGTAATGCAGTGAAATGGTTCAAATATGCAATTG